AATTTCCAGAAATTTTACATCTCTATTTATAAGTAATTTATTGTGGACTTAAATAACAATTTATTTATTTATTTATTTATTCATTCATTCATTCATTCATTCTTTGGATTTATATCCCGTCCTCCCCAAAGGCTCAGGGCGGCTAAGGGCATAAAATGCCAGATTATAACAATAAAACAATATAAAATACATGATCTTGGTCGCGGTCATTGTTGTATTTTATGTATTTGTCCTACCACTTTGGTGTAGTCAGGTTAAGTGCGCGAACTCTAATCAGGGAGAACCGTGTTTGATTCCCCACTCCTCCACTTGCACCTGCTGGGTGACCTTGGGCAAGTCACGGTTCTGTCAGCGCTGTTCTTGAAAAAGAGCAGTTTCTGTCAGAGCTCTCTCAGCCCCACCTACCTCACAGGGTGTGTCTGTTGTGGGGAGGGGAAGGGAAAGGAGATTGTGAGCCGCTCTGAGCCTCCTTTGGGGAGTGAAGGGCGGGGTATAAAACCAATCTCTCCTTCTTCTCAGCAGGCAGGTGCCGATGGGGAGTGGCCCTGGTATCTTTGGGGTGATTCGTGCCGCCTTTGTGCCCCGACACGGATGGCCCAGGCGAGCCTGATCTCACCACATCTCGGAACCTAAGCAGGGTCGTCCCTGGTTAGTATCTGGATGGGAGACCACCGAGGAAGTCCGCAGGCAGCGGCAAACCACCTCTGGATATCTCTTCCCTTGAATACCCTAAAGCAGGGGTGTCAAACACATTTGTTACGAAGGCCAGATCTGACATAACTGAGACCTTGTTGGGCCGGGCCATGTGTGTCACAAAATGTAATGCCAGGTAAGGTAAAAAGTAAAGGTTCTCTAGCTCGAAAGCCAGTCGAGTCCGACTCTAGGGTTGTGGTGCTCATCTCTGTTTCTGAGCCAAAGAGCCAGCGCTGTCCGAAGACATTTCCGTGGTCATGCGGCCGGCATGACTAGACGCTGAGGCGCATGGAACGCTGTTACCTTCCCACCAAAGTGGTACCTGTTTATCTACTTGCAATTTCCTGCTTTCGAACTGCTAGGTTGGCAGGAGCTGGAACTAGAGAGGGGAGCTCACTCCGTCATGCGGCACACTCGGATCTCGAACTGCTGAACTACCGACCTTCCGGCCTGCAGTTCAGCATCTTAACCACTGAGCCACCACAGCTCCTTAATGCCAGGTAGCGGAGATATAAACTTTATAAAGGACATAAACACAAAGATTTTTTTTTCTTGAAATAAAAACTTGCTTAAGACATTAGCACTCCTGTAATATTTTGTTTATTTAACGGTGTCTGATAACTGACACCTATGGCTCTGAATTATTGAATCAAAATGTCTGTGCTGTTGCAATCTTGAGTATGCTATTCAGGTGTGCATCTGTAAGCTGCAAACCTACTTTTGATTTATTGGCATTCGCCACAGAAATCTCATGCTCAGAGTTCTGAGTCTAGGACCCAGGTTAGAACATGAAACGGCTGAGTGATTAAGAGAGTCTGGCGAAGCAAGCTACGATGCAGCAGCAGGAGCAACGGAACTGGAAGCAGGAGATGGCCGGTTCCACTGCGGGCCTGATGGAAGCCGTCCAGGGGCCTGATCAGCCCCCCGGGCCGCGTGTTTGACACCCCTGCCCTGAAGGGTTGCCATAAGTTGGCTGCGACTTGACAGTGGTTCCCTCCACCACCACACTTGAACGCATGAAGCTGCCGTATACTGAATCAGACCACTGGTCTACCAAAGTTAGTATTGTCTACTCAGACTGGCAGCAGCTCTTGGGCACAGGTCCTCCCCATCACCAACTGCCGGGTACTAAACATGAGGAGCTGCGGTGGCTCAAGTGGTTAAGACGCTGAACTGCAGGCTGTGGAAGGTCAGTAGTTCAGCAGTTCGAGACCCGGCTGTGCCGCATGAAGGAGTGAGCTCCCATCTCTAGTTCCAGCTCCTGCCAACCTAGCAGTTCGAAAGCAAGACATTGCAAGTAGATAAATAGGGACCGCTTCGGTGGGAAGGGAACAGCGTTCCGTGCGCCTTGGTGTTTAGTCATGCCGGCCACATGACCACGGAAATGTCTTCGGACAGCGCTGGCTCTTCGGCTTTGAAACGGAGATGAGCACCGCAACCCTAGAGTCGGATTCGACTGGCTTTTGAGCAAGGGAACCTTTACCTTTACCTTTACTGAACATGAGACCTGCTACATGCAGATGCTCTACCTGAGCTACAGCTTTTCTGCACAAAGGACTTAACATCACTATTGGGCAGTGGCTCTCCAGGGTCTTTCACACCACCTGCCTCCCGGGGTTTGAACCTGGGACCCTTCTGCATGCCAAGCAGAGGCTCTACTACCGAGGCACTTGACTTTTGGCAAATGTGAAAGATTGTGGCTGAACGTGTGAACTGACTCCAACGAAGTCACAGAGTAGATCGGTGACGAAGCATTCACGCACACGTGCAAACACAAGAGCATTGCTACGATGTTTTGTCGCTCAAAACAAAAGGACGTGTGAACCAACCCTTTCGCGATCGCAGGTGCCTTTGGACACCTGAAGCTGCCTCCTACGGAATCAGAAGCCTCGGTCCATCAAAGTCAGGATTGATCTACTCAGACTGCCCGCGGCTCTCTAGCGTCTCAGGCGGAGGCCTTTCACATCACCTTCTGCCTGGTCCTTTTCTAAATGGGAGATGCCGGGGCTTGAACCTGGGTCCTCCCGTGTGCAAAGCGGGCAGCTCTTTCACGGAGCCACAGCCCCAACGGTGAGCCCAACGGGCCGCCGACTCACCTGACAACATGCTGGCGCTGCTGACGGGGGTGCTGCTTCCTGGCATACTGGCGGAGCTCATCCGAGCCTGGTCCTTCACTATGGGATCTGCAAGACATGGAGTCCCCCCCCGAGCTCGGGTTAGAGCGGCCGTATTATTATTATTATTACATCCCAGCTATGCCGGGCTCTGGGCGATGTACAAGAGAGGCATCGTGCCATAGAACAAGGTATGTCCAACAGGTAGATTGCGATCTACCAGTAGATCGCGGAGGGGTCGTCAGAGGTAGATCACCAGCCGCACTTGGTCTCCTGGTTTGCTGGACAGGTGTGTGGGTTTTTTTGATGATTACTCATTGAACAAGGCACCTCTTGAAAACGAAATATTAACCCTTAAAAAAAAACCCTTAAAATGATATTCACCCAACTTCAAAAAGCTGGTGGATGAAATGCAGGCTCAGACGTCTCACTAATGAGCAAGAGCGGAGTTTTAAAGATTGCGCAAGATCAGCCTGGATCAATACTTGACCTACATTGAACGCAAATAACTCCGAATAAAAGTTAAAGAAAGTTATTGAGGCGGTTAAAGAAAGTTATTATTTTTTTTTAACAATTTTATTGTTAGGATATAACAAGTCCAGTATTGAACCATTTCACCATTCATAATATATCCCTTTTCTCTATCACCCTCCCTCCCCTGGTTCAGGCTTCCCGCAGCGCTCCCACCCCCCCACTACGTCCCATTCTCTTGTTCTATCCCTCCTCTTAAACAATACTTAAAAGTTCACAGTTTCTCTTACTACCTTTTTCGCATCTTTCAACCTTATAGGTAACAGGTTAAAGAAAGTTATAACTCAATACAAAATAAAAAAATGTCCGCAGTTCTTTCTGGATCTTCATCTCTCTGTTTTGTTTTTGCTTATTTTGCTTACCAGTAAATGACAGAAGGTGCATTATAAATGGGGGGCGGGGGGCGCCCGCGGTGGAACCCAACTTTAGTGGGTTAAAATCTAATTGGAAACTAATTGGAAACTTTATTTTCATGGTGGCAGATCACCGGCACTTTTGGCCGGAAAAAAATAGATCACGACCTGTTCGAAGTTGGACATGCCTGCCATAGAACAAAATACAATTTTTTAAAATCCAATGCGGTGAATAAGAACAAAACCAGAATAAAATCCCAGATGGCGATTTGCAGTTTTCTATTCCTTAAGAACATAAGAGAAGCCAATGTTGGATCAGGCCAAAGGCCCATCCAGTCCAACACTCTGTGTCACACAGTGGCCAGAAATACCAGGTGCCATACCAGAAATACCAGTGGTCCACCAGTTCCTTCTGGACTACTTGGCTATGGGGTGGGGGTGGGGGATAGAAACTTAACAAAATATACATGCAGGAAGAGAGGGAAAAGGAGAAGGGTGCCAGCCAGTATAACTAACCGTCGCTGCCCTCAGCCAAAAGCCTGGCGGAACCTCTCTGCTTTACAGGCCCTGCGGAATTGCGCAAGGTCCCGCGGGGGCCCTGGTGTCATTTGGCAGAGAGTTCCACCAGGTTGGGGCCAGGACGGAGAAGGCCCCGGCCCTGGTCGGGGACAGCCGGACATTCTTGGGGCCAGAGATCACCGGCAAGGTGTTATCGATGGAGCGCAAAGCTCTTCCAGGGACACAGCGGAGAAGGCGGTCCCGTAGGTATGCTGGCCCCAGACCATTAGGTAGATTCATGGACGATAAGAACATAAGAGATGCCAATGTTGGATCAGGCCAAAGGCCCATCCAGTCCAACACTCTGTATCACACAGTGGCCAGAAATACCAGGTGCCATCAGGAGGTCCAGCAGTGGGGCCAGGACATTAGAAGCCCTCCCACTGTTGCCCCCCCCCCAAGCACCAAGAAGACAGAGCATCCCTTGCCCCAGACATAAGAACATAAGAGAAGCCAATGTTGGATCAGGCCAATGGCCCACCCAGTCCAACACTCTGTGTCACACAGTGGCCAGAAATACCAGGTGCCATCAGGAGGTCCACCAGCGGGGCCAGGACACTAGAAGCCCTCCCACTGTTGCCCTCCCACTGTTGCTCCCCCAAGCACCAAGAAGACAGAGCATCACTTGCCCCAGACATAAGAACATAAGAGAAGCCAATGTTGGACCAGGCCAGTGGCCCATCCAGTCCAACACTCTGTGTCACACAGTGGCCAGAAATACCAGGTCCCATCAGGAGGTCCAGCAATGGGGCCAGGACCCTAGAAGCCCTCCCACTGTTGCCCCCCCCAAGCACCAAGAATACAGAGCATCCCTTGCCCCAGAGTCCCTTATCTATACGATAAGATTCATGGACGGTAAGTGGCCCTGAGCGTCTCATTGCTCTCTCAGCCCCCCCCGCCCCCCGTCCTGTGCAAGAACAGAAAACCGGGCCCACGGAGAGGCAGACTCACAAAAGTAAGGGTGCTCCATGGCTTCTCTTGCCGTGAGCCGGGACTGGTGGTCGTATCGCAGCAATTTGTCTAGGAAATCCAGGGCCTCCGGGCTGACCAAGTGCTGATTCTCGCTGTGGACGAAGCGCTCCCATCGCTTGCGGGAGTGCCTGCGGGAGGGAGAGGGGAACACTGAGCGGACGGGAACACGCCTGGAAGTCCTCCTTACGTGCCTTAAAGCAACGCCTGGGGAGGAAGGAAGGCACACGTCCAACTCAGAGAAACGCTGCCCATCATTTCTACAGGGCTTGCGAAAGGCAAGGTGGCGCACTTGCCTGTAACACCGGACTGTTTTTGGAGGGGGGAAAGAGATACGGTGACCAGAACTGCACACAGTCTTCCAAATGAGGTCACACCACAGATCTATACAAGGGTATTATAACGTCGGCTGTAGAGATGAAGAGGAAGAAGAGAAGAGATTGGATTTATACCCCACCCTTCACTACCCAAAGGTGTCTCAGAGTGGCTGACAAACTCCTTTCCCTTCCCCTCCCCACAACAGACACCCTGGGAGGTGGGTGGGGCTGAGAGAGCTCTTGACACAAACTGCTCTCTTTCAAGGACAGCTCTTGTCAGAACTATGGCTTGCCCGAGGTCATCCAGCCAGGTGCAAGTGGAGGAGTGGGGAATCAAACCCAGCTCTCTCAGATTAGAGTCCGTGCACTTAAGAAGAAGAGATTGGATTTATACCCTGCCCTTCACTTGGAGTCTCAGAGCGGCTTACAAACTCCTTCCCCTTCCCTTCCCCACAACAGACACCTTGTGAGATAAGTGGGGTTGAGAGAGCTCTGACAGAAACGGCTCTTTTTCAAGAACAGCTCTTATCAGAACTACAGCTTGCCCAAGGTCATCCAGCCAGGTGCAAGTGGAGGAGTGGGGAATCAAACCTGGTTCTCCCAGATTAGAGTCTGCGCACTTAACCACGACACCAAACTGATGCAAACTTGTTGCATGAAAAAAGCAGCACCTGTGACAGACAGGTCCAGTTCCGCCTCTCTCAAAGTGCAACTAACCTTGTATAGATCTGTGGTGTGACCTCATTCGGAAGACTGTGTGCAGTGCTGGTCACACCACAGATCTATACAAGGTTAGTTGCACTTTGAGAGAGGCGGAACTGGACCTGTCTGTCACAGGTGCCGCTTTTTTCATGCGAGTTTGCATCTATGCAGCCAACGTTCTAATACCCTTGTATAGATCTGTGGTGTGACCTCATTCGGAAGACTGTGTGCAGTGCTGGTCACACCACAGATCTATACAAGGTTAGTTGCACTTTGAGAGAGGCGGAACTGGACCTGTCTGTCACAGGTGCCGCTTTTTTCATGCGAGTTTGCATCTATGCAGCCAACGTTCTAATACCCTTGTATAGATCTGTGGTGTGACCTCATTCGGAAGACTGTGTGCAGTGCTGGTCACACCACAGATCTATACAAGGTTAGTTGCACTTTGAGAGAGGCGGAACTGGACCTGTCTGTCACAGGTGCCGCTTTTTTCATGCGAGTTTGCATCTATGCAGCCAACGTTCTAATACCCTTGTATAGATCTGTGGTGTGACCTCATTCGGAAGACTGTGTGCAGTGCTGGTCACACCACAGATCTATACAAGGGTATTAGAACGTTGGCTGCATAGATGCAAACTCGCATGAAAAAAGCGGCACCTGTGACAGACAGGTCCAGTTCCGCCTCTCTCAAAGTGCAACTAACCTTGTATAGATCTGTGGTGTGACCAGCACTGCACACAGTCTTCCGAATGAGGTCACACCACAGATCTATACAAGGGTATTAGAACGTTGGCTGCATAGATGCAAACTCGCATGAAAAAAGCGGCACCTGTGACAGCCAGGCCCAGTTCCGCCTCTCTCAAAGTGCAACTAACCTTGTATAGATCTGTGGTGTGACCAGCACTGCACACAGTCTTCCGAATGAGGTCACACCACAGATCTATACAAGGGTATTAGAACGTTGGCTGCATAGATGCAAACTCGCATGAAAAAAGCGGCACCTGTGACAGACAGGTCCAGTTCCGCCTCTCTCAAAGTGCAACTAATGGGAGCTGATGGAATGCTGGGACACTTGACAGACAGAACAGTCGGAACGGGGAGAGCAGAGAAGAGTTTTGAGCCACTGAGCCAAGAAGCATGCGATAGAAGCTGGATGGGAGAAAGACAATGTCACTGAGAAGACAAGAAGGACGAGGAGAGTTAGGGATGAAGAGTTCAAGCACTGAGATATGTATCCATGTGCTCAAACACTCCACTGTGGTTAAAAGTTTTAAGTAATAGTTAATCCTTTGCTCAACCCCGCTGACTGAAAGTCAACTGTCTCAGGGAAGAAGAAGAAGAAGAGATTGGATTTATCCCCTGCCCTTCACTACCCAAAGGTGTCTCAGAACGGCTCACAAACTCCTTCCCCTTCCCCTCCCCACAACAGACACCCTGTGAGGTGGGTGGGGCTGAGTGAGCTCTGACAGAAAGGGCTCCTTTTCAAGGACAGCTCTTATCAGAACTACGGCTTGCCCAAGGTCATCCAGCAGGTGCAAGTGGAGGAGTGGGGAATCAAACTCGGTCCTCTCAGATTAGAGTCCGTGCACTTAACCACTACACCAAACGACATGCACAAAACCCAGTGTGGCCTCGGCCTGTATATATCCGTATGACGTAAGCTGCCTTGAGAAAAGGGCAGGGTAGAAACATTTTAAGAAATAAATGGTGCCGGCATAAAATGGGAAGCAGTGTTTAGTTCTCCACCACAGTAGCTCAGGGAAATATCTGGGTGAGTGGTGGCTGAAAGGGGGGGGGGGAATTGGCTACCCTGTTTTTGTCTTTGGGAAGGAGGGACCCGGTGTGTAAAAGGGTTCGGGGCTCTCGTTAAAATAGTTAGAGAGAAGATGGGTGCTGAAACTGTAGCTGCCTAACCTATCTGTGTCGCTGAAGCTAAGAGAGGTTGCACTGGGTGGTAGTGCTTGGGAAGAAGAAGAACAGAAGATTGGATTAATACCCCGCCCTTCACTATCCAAAGGATTCTCAGAGCGGCTGACAAACTCCTTTCCCTCCCCCTCCCCACAACAGACACTCAGTGCGGTAGGTGGGGCTGAGAGAGTTCTGACAGAAACTCCTCTTTTTCAAGAACAGCTCTTGTCAGAACTACGGCTTGCCCAAGGTCATCCAGCCAGGTGAGAGTGGAGGAGTGGGGAGTCAAACCCGGTTCTCCCAGATTAGAGTCCACACACTTAACCACTAAATCAAACTGGCTATTTATCGACTTGCAATGTCTTCCTTTCGAACTGCTAGTTTGGCAGGAGCTAGGGCCGGAGACGGGAGCTCACTCCGTCACGCAGCACGCGGGTCTCGAACTGCTGGACTACCGACCTTCCGGTCTGCAGCTTAGCGTCTTAACCACTTGAGCCGCCACGGCCACAACAGCACACCAACTCAGCTGATCCTAATGAAGACCAGACGATTTTAGTTCCGACGCTTCCACCCGACCCCAGCTCACCTGCCCAAGATATCGTTGAAACGGGGGTCAAGTTCTATGTTGTATTTGTCGATGTAGTCGTACAGGTCTTCCGTCCCCAGCACCTTCGCTATTCTCACCAACTGTGGACAGACAACGTGTGAAGTCAGCAGCACGCCAATCGGCCAGAACTTTCCCAGCTGCCAAGTGGAGGGAACGAGGGGAAGCTGAAGACTGAGGGGAGGGTGGTGGGTGGGGAAGACAGGAGGGAAAGAGAGAGGCTACGGCGGCTTTCGGGGAAGGTGACAACGGCGATGCACTCCCCAAAGTCCTTGTGCGTTCCCTTGCTCGTTTATCACTAACTGGATTTTTCGTGCTGTTCTTCCACAACAACCAGGAAGAGATGTGGGATTCCTCCTTTCATTTCACCCTCACGCTATCCCTCCAAGGTAGGCTACACTGAGAGAAAGTACCTTAGCCAGGCAATGAGTTTCAAGGCCTATTGGGCCACATCCCTGACAGCACAGCTCATTAGCATATTAGGCCACACCCCCGTGCTTTCCCTTGACTTGCCTGGGCACCCCAGGCTGCAGGGAGCCCAGGCAAGCCTGCCCTTGGACAGGCCGGGGAAGGCACGGGGAGGCATTTAAATGCCTCCCCGATCCTTTCAGGGGGGGGGGGCCTGGCCCGGCCACCTCGGAGTCGCCGGGGTGTGTGTTTGCTCTCCAGGCCTTCCCTCTGTAGCCACGCATGCAGAGGTTTTGGCTGTAGTGGGCGTGGCCAACCCTGAAACCAGCCGGAACTCCGTTCCTCTGCGTTCCTGCCCAGAAATAGCCCTGGCCAAATCGCTCGCTCACAGCTTTAATGCCAGTCGCTCACAAAGTAGGATTTTTGCTCACAGGACTCCACAGCTCAAAGGGCACACTGTTTAGGAACTAGTCTGCACATGGCATTGGATGCACGCCGACACATGCGCACACGTGAGCCACCATTGCAGCAGACCAAGTGGAAGACGTGCCCGGTGGAAGCGATCCTTTGCACAAATCCTTTTTGTCCTCATCCCTCGCAAAACCAGGCGGTGAGATGAACGGACAAGTATGCGGTGGGACGACGGTGCGGGGGCCCGCCGCGAGAGCTCACCTGATCGTAATTGTCGTGGCCGTGGAAAAAGGGCTCCTTCCGGAAGATCATGCTGGCGAGCATGCACCCCAAGCTCCACATGTCCAGACTGTAATCGTACATCTATGGGGAAGCGAAGGAGGCCCGTCAGTACAGTGCCGACTCAGAAGAAGGAAAAGCGCTCGTTTTTGTCACAGACGCACGCTTGCCGCCTGGGAGAGACTTTCCCCCAAGGAAAACCAGCGGGAGCGGTTTACCCGAGGGAAAGGCCCCCCCAGAGTGAAAATTTTCTACAGCTGCACAAATTTTACTCCCACGAGATAACACAGTGGCAGTTGTGTGCTCGACGGGAGGATTTCTACAGCGGTGCCAGGAAATGTAGCCCAGCGTCGGAAAACAGCCTTCTGCATCGCCTGAGACATGACAGCGGAGGGTCATCACCACACCCCAAATACGCCTTTTAACTGGAGGTGCCGGGGATTGAACCTGGGACCTTCTGCATGCCAGGCAGAGGTTCTTCCACTGAGCCACAGCCTCTCTTGACAGCTCTCCAGGGTCTCAGGCGGAGGTCTTTCCCATCACCTACTGCCTGGTCCTTTTTTAAAACTGGAGATGCCGGGGATTGAACCTGGGACCTTCTGCGTGCCAAGCAGATGCTCTGCCACTGAGCCACGGCCCCTCTTTACAGCTCTCCAGGGTCTCAGGCGGAGGTCTTTCCCATCACCTACTGCCTGGTCCTTTTTTAAAACTGGAGATGCCGGGGATTGAACCTGGGACCTTCTGTGTGCCAAGCAGATGCTCTGCCACTGAGCCACGGCCCCTCTTTACAGCTCTCCAGGGTCTCAGGCGGAGGTCTTTCCCATCACCTACTGCCTGGTCCTTTTTTAAAACTGGAGATGCCGGGGATTGAACCTGGGACCTTCTGTGTGCCAAGCAGAGGCTCTGCCACTGAGCCACGGCCCCTCTTTACAGCTCTCCAGGGTCTCAGGCGGAGGTCTTTCCCATCACCTACTGCCTGGTCCTTTTTTAAAACTGGAGATGCCGGGGATTGAACCTGGGACCTTCTGCGTGCCAAGCAGATGCTCTGCCACTGAGCCACGGCCCCTCTTGACAGCTCTCCAGGGTCTCAGGCGGAGGTCTTTCCCATCACCTACTGCCTGGTTCTTTAAGAACCCCAAATACGCCACATGCAACTGGGACTTCTGATTCTTTCCACCATTCCGTACCCAAACGGAGAGCCAGGCTGGGACAGGTCCAGGTGGAAGAGGCACCTGGAAGGATTTGAGGGGGGGGGGCATAGAGTGCTGTCACGTTGCAGCCGACTCAGGGCACACTCCGTAGGGTTTAAAAGGCTAGAGATGTGCAGAGCGGGTTGGCCACTGCCTGCCTCTGCGCAGGGACCCTAGGCTTCCTTGGGGGCCTCCCGTCCAAGCGGTAACCAGAGACGACCCTGCTTAGCTTCTGGGCCATCCAGGTCAAGGCATAAAGTAAGAGCTGTCGAGTCACAACCAACTTGACCCTGTAGGGTTTTCAAGGCAAGAGACAAACAGAAGTGATGCTCTGTGACTTCTTGGTGCTTGGGGGGGGGGACAACAGTGGGAGGGCTTCTAATGTCCTGGCCCCACTGGTGGACCTCCTGATGGCCCCTGGTATTTCTGGCCACTGTGAGACACAGAGTGTTGGACTGGATGGGCCTTTGGCCTGATCCAACATTGGCGTCTCTTACGTTCTTATATGGAGCAGAGGACCATCAGTGGCTATTAGCCACAAGGTATAGATAGGGGCTCTGGGGCAACTTCTTTTTTGTGAGGGGGGGGGGGTGTCCAACAGTGGGAGGGCTTCTAATGTCCTGGCCCCACTGGTGGACCTCCTGATGGCCCCTGGTATTTCTGGCCACTGTGTGACACAGGGTGTTGGACTGGATGGGCCTTTGGCCTGATCCAACAGTGGCGTCTCTTATGTTCTTATGTGGTTCGCCCTTGCCTGTCTCTGCCTAGCGACCCTGGACTTCCTTGGAGGTCTCCCATCCGAGTACTAACCAAGGCTGACCCTGCTTAGCTTGTGAGAGCTGGTGAGATGGGGCAAGCCTGGGCTACAAAAGTCAAGGCAAGAGACAAACTCCTTCCCCTTCCCCTCCCCACAACAGACACCCTGTGAGGTAAAAGAAGAAGAAGAAGAGTTTGGATTTATACCCCGCCCTTCACTACCCAAAGGTGTCTCAGAGTGGCTTACAAACTCCTTTCCCTTCCCCTCCCCACGACAGACACCCTGGGAGGTAGGTGGGGCTGAGAGAACTCTAACAGAAACGGCTCTTTTTCAAGAACAGCCCTTATCAGAACTAGGGCTTGCCCAAGGTCATCCAGCCAGGTGCAAGTGGAGGAGTGGGGAATCAAACCCGGTTCTCCCAGATTAGAAGAAGAAGAAGAGTTTGGATTTATACCCCGCCCTTCACTACCCAAAGGTGTCTCAGAGCGGCTGACAACCTCCTTTCCCTTCCCCTCCCCACAACAGACACACTGGGAGGTAGGTGGGGCTGAGAGAGCTCTGACAGAAACGGCTCTTTTTCAAGAACAGCTCTTATCAGAACTATGGCTTGCCCAAGGTCATCCAGCCAGGTGCAAGTGGAGGAGTGGGGAATCAAACCCGGTTCTCCCAGATTAGAAGAAGAAGAGTTTGGATTGATACCCCGCCCTTCACTACCCAAAGGTGTCTCAGAGCGGCTTACAAACTCCTTTCCCTTCCCCTCCCCACAACAGACACACTGGGAGGTAGATGGGGCTGAGAGAGCTCTAATAGAAACGGCTCTTTTTCAAGGACAGCTCTTGTCAGAACCATGGCTTGCCCAAGGTCATCCAGCAGGTGCAAATGGAGGAGTGGGGAATCAAACCCGGTTCTCCAAGATTAGAGTCCGCGCACTTAACCACCACACCAAACTGGCTTTCTAGGAAGTTTGGCCACCCCTGGACTAGATGGCCTGTATGGCCCGTTCCAACACCGTGGTTCCATGATCAGATAACCAAGTTTTGACTCTCGAAAAGCTCCCGCCCCACAAATTGTGTGGGTCTCTAAAGTGCTACTGAGCTCAGATCTAGCCGTTCCACCACAGACTGACACGGCTACCCTCGGAAACTGTCCTTTCCAGAACCCTCTTGCAAAATAATTCTATGCCCCTTTCCCCTCTTCCCCAACATAAAATAAAGGGACAGACCATCGGCTAACCCTGAACTACATTCATATTTTGCTTTTCACACTTAGTGTTTGCCAATATACAGCGTTAATCAGCGACAGGCTGTGTTTCACGGTGACTTATGCAGGTGACCCCAGAGTTGAGCCTCCCACGACTGCTTTTCCCCATTCACCCCATCCCTCGTCCTTTTGACCCCTGCGGGAGAGTTGTGACCCATTCCGGGGTCCTGATTCACAGACTGAGGACCGCTGGCGTTAAGTCGAGGAATTTGCTGGTTCTCGGCTTTCTGCTTCCTCGCAATGCTGAGACTGGGCGGCACTTACTTGATAATCTACAAGAAGCTCGGGGCCTTTGAAGTATCTGGAAGCGACTCGAACGTTGTACTCTTGGCCAGGATGGTAGAATTCTGCCAAGCCCCAGTCTATTAGCCGCAGCTAAAAAAAGAAGAGAGAACTTAAGTAAATAGGAAGAGCCCTGCTGGATCGGACCAGAGGTCCATCTAGTCCACCCTCCTGTCTCACACAATGGCCAACCTGTTTCTCTGGAGGGCCAACAACAGAGCATAGAGGCCGAAACCTTCCCCAGATGTTGCCTCCTCACTCTGGGATTCAAACGATTAGTGCATCTGAATGTGGAGGTTCCCTTCAGTCACCATGGCTATATCCCTACAAATAGGGATGGGCACGAACTGAGTCACAAACGGAAGTTCGTAACGAATTTTGGCTGGTTCGTGAATTGATGGTCGCGGCAGGTCAACTGGCATGAACTTTCCACAAACTTTCAAGCAGTTTGTTCCAAACCGACTCCTTTCAATCAAAATGTTTACCAAACTTCAAAGCAACAGGGGAGAGACTGTAGAGGAGCAGGCGGCGGGGTTTGGTGTGCATTTGGTGTGTGTAGGTTGCACGGTTGAACCTGAGCCTGAAATTTCCCCAAAAGCACTTTCCTGGGGGTATCTTCTTTGGGGGGGTCCTAGCTCGGATCTCCGAGGTCCAATCTGCACGTAACTTGGAGGGCATGTAGAGGAGCATTGGGGGGAGGGGTCCTTTACGAGTTTGATGTTTCTAGCTTGCATAGGGTCCGTTCTATACACTCATGAACCTGCGCCTGTCAAAATGACCACCTGTCATTTCCCCAGAAAGCATTTTCCTGGGAACACCTTCTTTGGGGTGCTGTAACTCAGATCCTGTAAATCTAATCCTCACCAAACTTGGAGGGCAAGCCAGAGATCCCCTGTGAGTTTGGTGTCTCTAGCAAGCTGTGTGTGTGTTCATTCTACCATGCTACAAACCTCACCAATTCTTTTGGAGCCTACAAGTTTTGTGACAGTTCGCGGCTCATGAACCGGGCACGCCAAGAACCGAAATGAACTGCATTTTCCTCGTATGTGCCCATCCCTATCCACAAATCTAATCCCCATTTAAAACTGTTGATTCCTGTGGCCATCACTATGCTTTAATCACACTCTGCGTAAAGAAGAAGAGGAGATTGGATTTATACTCTGTCCTTCACTCAGGAGTCACAGAGTGGGCTTCCGGTTTGTGGATCAGCGATGGTGGTCGTTCTCCCCGGACCTCGGGAGAATGACTCGCACACCAGCGGTATGGAGGGGTGCTACCTCAAGTAGCACTCACACGGAGCCTTTGCGATAGGCTCCAGGCCATAGGGCTTTTGAGGGGCAGCCTCTTCGACAGCTAAACAAGAACTCTACAAGTATATTGTTGTACTAACACTTTTATTAATACCACTTAGACTAACACGGATATGATCTCCTCCTCTTGGGTTTTTAGTGTAGTGTGGTTATCTATCCTTTATCCTTAGATGTTATCCCCCTCCCTCGTGTTTTCTTTGTAGTTTTGTAGTCTCATAAACAAATAATAAAAAATATCCCTCTGGGGATTTCAAAAAAAAGAAAAAAGAAAAAGGAGTCACAGAGTGGTTTACAATTCCCTTCCCTTCCCCTCCTCCCCTCCCCTCCCCTCCCCACAAAAGACACCCTGTGAGGTAGGTGGGGCCGAAAGTGTATTTCCTTTTGTCCGTTCTGAACCTGAATCAGCTTCATTGGTTGTCCTTGAGTTCTAGTCTTCTGGGAAAGGGAGAAAAAATTCTCTTTTGTCAACTCTCTCCGCCCCATGCATAATTTTATAAATTATGTCCCCCTTAGTCTCAGCAGAAAAGTCCTAGACTCTTCAGCCTTTTCTCTTAGGTAACATGATCCAACCCCCAAATCATCTTGGTTGCCCTCTTAGGAGATGGAAATAAGTGGTTAGGAGATGGAGAGAAGAGCCGGTTTGGAGTAGTGGTTAAGAGTGGCAGGACTCTAATCTGGAGAAGCGGGTTTGATTCCCCATTTCTCCACAGGAAGCCAGCTGGGTGACCTTCGGTCAGTCACAAGTTCTCTGAGAGCTGTTCTCTCAAGAGCAGTTCTCTCAGAGCTCACTCAGCCCCACCTATCTCACAGGGTGTGTGTTGTGGGGAGAGGAAGAGAAGGAGATTGTAAACCACTCTGAGACTCTGAGTGAAGGGCGAGGTATAAATCCAATCTCTTCTTTCTTTAGTCTACCCTTTCAATGAGAGACTGAGTACTGCTAGCTTCAAAACAGCCAGCTAAGAAGCTTCTCAAGAAGCTAAAAAAGCCTATTTATTAATCTGTTTTAGAAAGAACATGTTTCAGACTGGCTTTTCCTGCTGTTTTTTTTTTATTGCACGGCTTTTTTGCAGAAGAAGAAGAAAAAGGCAGCTAATTTTCATGGATTTGTTTTATTCTAAAATCTTGACGCTCCCCTCAGCAGTTTTCCGCAGAGATGGCTCAGAAGTTATCCAATTAACTTTTTGAAAATATAACCTGGCGCCCCGGATAGATGTAAGGTAAAGGTAAAGGTAAAGGTTCCCTTGCTCGAAAGCCAGTCGAATCCGACTCTAGGGTTGCGGTGCTCATCTCCGTTTCAAAGCCGAAGAGCCAGCGCTGTCCGAAGACGTTTCCGTGGTCATGTGGCCGGCATGACTAAACACCAAGGTGCACGGAACGCTGTTACCTTCCCACTGAAGTGGTACCTATTTATCTACTTGCAATTTCTTGCTTTCGAACTGCTAGGTTGGCAGGAGCTGGGACCAGAGACGGGAGCTCACTCCGTCATGCGGCATCCAGGTTTCGAACTGCTGAACTACTGACCTTCCACAGCCTGCAGTTCAGCGTCTTAACCACTTGAGCCACCGCAGATGTAATAGATGTAAACACAGAGCAAAAAGGGGGAGTCCGGTTAATTCCACACCCAAACAGGAAGAGGACGTTTCCGAGGCCCTGCACCTCTTACCTTTCTGTGCTCGTGGTCGATCATGACGTTGTGGGGCTTAACGTCTCTGTGCATGATCCCCATACTGTGACAGTAGTCCAGGGCCTGGAGAAGGGAACATGCACACACCAGAGGGCATTCGTCAGAGAAGAGACGTCGCCATTTTGCATTCCTTCCTACTGAAAAATCCCAGACTGCCGGGACAACAAGGCAATTTACAGAGTCAGGTTTGGAAGGGGTCATCAGTAAGTGCTGGTCATGGCAAAATTCCCTCCGAAGCTCGAAGGCAAAAGCCCCGTCCCACCAAGCCTCGCCAGCAACCTGCCCCCGGACTTTGTCCCCCTATCTGTGCTTCTGCCTGTGGCTACCGGCTTCTCACGAGAAGTATCACATCTTCTGGTGCGGCATACGACGTTCACGGCAAGTAAAGCAACAAGGCCCAGGCTACATCCGTCTCATCAGGCCTCAGAAGCTAAGCAGAGTCGGTCCTAGTTAGCAGTACTTGGACGGGAGGCCACCACGGAAACCCAGGCTTGCTACGCACAGGCCGGCAACGGAAAACCACCTCGGTATATCTCGTCTCGAAAACCCTACAAGGTCGCTATAAGTCGGTTGTGACTTGACAGCACTTTCCACCACAAAAGCGATACTTAGATCACTAAGTATCCTTCCCCCCTTTACTGAAGGGGGGGAGAAGACTCACATCGGCGTTTGGTGGGCCACACTGCCCCCACTTTCCAAGAACCTATAACAAGGGGGGGGGGAAGGATGCAGGGCACTACTTCCCATCTCTACCCTACCATCAATTCCAGGGGCAAGCAGGGGATGTGGCAGAGTCATAAGAACATAAGAGACGCCAATGTTGGATCAGGCCAATGGCCCATCCAGTCCAACACTCTGTCACACAGTGGCCAAAAATACCAGGGACCATCAGGAGGTCCAGCAGCGGGGCCAGGACTCCAGGAGCCCTCCCACTGTTGCCCCCCCCAAAGCACCAAGAAGACAGAGCATCCCTTGCCCCAGACTGAGAGTTCCTATCTATACCTTGTGGCTAATAGCCACTGATGGACCTCTGCTCCATATGTTTCTCCAACCCCCTCTCAAAGCTATGTTTGTAGCTGCCACCACCTCCTGTGGCAGTGAATTCCATGTGTTAATCACTCTTACAAGTGATTCAATTGTGTAAGAGATTCTCGGGTTTTGTATAATCACTCTTACAAGAACGTAAGAGAAGCCAGTGTTGGATCAGGCCAAAGGCCCATCCAGTCCAACACTCTGTGTCACACAGTGGCCAAAAAGACCAGGTGCCATCAGGAGGTCCAGCAGTGGGGCCAGGACACTAGACGCCGTCCCACTGTTGACACCCCCCCCCCAAGCACCAAGGATACAGAGCATCCCTTGCCCCAGACTGCGAGTTCCTATCTATACCTTGTGGCTAATAGCCACTGATGGACCTCTGCTCCCTATGTTTCTCCAATCCCCTCTCAAAACTGTCTATGTTTGTATCTGCCACCACCTCCAGTGGCAGTGAATTCCTATGTCTTAATTACTCCTTGGACTTTACATAAAAGTTCCTACAATAGAAAAATCCTCCCGCTTCCCAGGGCCGGTAGCGGGGATCCCATCTCCCATTCGTCCTCTAACTTACACATACACACACAGGGTGGTGTAGTCATTAAGAGTGTCAGGCTAGTGTCTGGAAGACCCAGGTTCGAATCCCCCACTCGTGCCACGGAAGCTCACTGGGAGACCCTGGGCCGGTCGCACTCTCTCAGCCTAACCTACATAACATGACGTAAGCTGTGCTGGGTGCCCGTTAGGGAGAAACGTGGCATACAAATGAATTAAATAAAACACACGACCTGAGAAGCAAACGCAGACTCACCTTCAAAATTTCATACATGTAGAACCGAATGTCGTAGTCTGTTAACGTTTGGTACAATTGCTGCAGGAGGGAAACACAACATAGTCAGGGTATGAACGTAAGAGAAGCCATGTTGGATCGGGCCAGGGGTGGCCAAACTGTGGCTCGGGAGCCGCATGCGGCTCTTTCACGCATATTGTGTGGCTGGGGAAGCTAAAAGGAGCCATGCTTTCCCTCCCTCCCATCTATTGGCTTTCTTTGTTTCTCTCTCTCTCTCTCTCTCTCTCTCTTTCTTTCCACCACTTTCCTTCTTTCTTTCCACCTCTCTCTTTCTCTCGCTCTCTCGTAGACAAATAAATATCATTAGCAGACAAATAAATATCACTGGACAAATAAATATCATTATCAATATCTGCTTTTACCCCTTTTGTTTTTATTTTTGGCAGTCTCATTAAATAATAAAAAGCAAATGCGCACATTTTAAAAATAAAAATGTGTGTAATATTTGGTCATGTCTTGCGGCTCTCAAACGTCTGATGTTTATTCCATGTGGCTCTTACGCTGAGCAAGTTTGGCCGCCCCGGGATCAGGCCAATGGCCCATCCAGTCCAACACTCTGTGTCACACAGGGGCCAAAACCCAGGGGCCATCAGGAGGTCCAGCAGTGGGGCCAGAACCCCAGAAGCCCTCCCACTCTTGCCCCCCCAAGCGGGGCCAGGATGTTAGAAGCCCTCCCACTGTGCCACCCCCAAGCACCAAGAATACAGAGCATCACTGCCCCAGACATAAGAACCTAAGAGAAGCCATGTTGGATCAGGCCAATGGCCCATCCAGTCCAACACTCTGTGTCACACAGGGGCCAAAACCCAGGGGCCATCAGGAGGTCCACCAGTGGGGCCAGAACTCCAGAAGCCCTCCCATTCCTGCCCCCCAAACACCAAGAATACAGAGCATCACTGCCCCAGACAAAA